TGACTAATGTTAGCCAAAATATCTCCCTTACGTCTCATAAGACGGCTAAACCCGAATGATTCTAGTTCTTGGTCTAGTGTTAGTTCTACTTTTAGTTCAATAAAAATATACTACAATCTACTGCTGCATAACAATTAAAACTAGAACTATTACTCTGTAGAACTAACACTATACCTAGATCTAGAATCATTTGGATTTAGCCCCACACGTCTCTAAAGACGGCTAAACCCAAATGATTCTAGTTCTAGGTATAGTGTTAGTTCTACATAGTAACAGTGCTAGTGTGAAACTAGCCACAAGTCTCTAAAGACGGCTAAACCCGAATGATTCTAGTTCTTGGTCTAGTGTTAGTTCTATTTTTAGTTCAATAAAAATACACTACAATCTAGCGCTGCATAACTATTAAAACTAGAACTAACACTAGACCTAGAACTAGAAAGTTTCGGGTTTTTCGGGTCTGAAGACGCACGGCTAAACCTGAACGTTTCTAGTTTTAGGTCTAGTGTTAGTTCTAGTTTTACACTAGCACTATTACTATGTAGAACTAACACTATATCTAGAACGTGGGTAAAACATGTTCAGACACATAGCTAAACCCGAAACTCTCTAGTTCTAGGACTAGTGTTAGTTCTAGTTTTACTTCAATACAAATATGCAACATAGTGCTATTTTATGCAACTAGCGCTACCTACAACGTCTTAAAAGAGGTACTACTAAACGGAATGTCTCTAATTCTAGGTCTATTGTTAGTTCTAGAGCTAGTATTAGTCTAGTTTTATTTGTTATTCAGCGCTAGATTATTGTATATTTTCATTAAGCTATAACAAACACTGCATTACCCACTCATTATATCAAAATTTTACTGTAATGTCAAATTATATTAACATATTGCATTTTATGTGGGACAAAGTAACTAGGTTTCTATGGAAATATATTTTTGTATATTGCATACTAATTGAAATTCACTGTATAAAAGAATTAAAAAGGATTTTCTTTATTTAATTGTCCCTAATTCCGCTGCTCGTTTAGCTGAAGCTTCGACTGCATCCATAATCGCTCCTCTAAAAAAAGATTAGATTCCATTTTAAGTCTTTTGAAGTAAAAATTTTTTACGAACCGGACTCCTCCGCGTTCCAAAGCATGCATCCCAGCTATCGTTGAACCCCCAGCGGAACAAACTTCATCTTTTAAAGCCCCCGTATGTTTACCAGTTTGCAAAACCATTTTTGCAGCCCCCAAAACGGTTTGTGCAGCGAATCTTGTTGCCACTTCTCTGTGAATTCCCATTCGAACACCTCCATCAGATAAAGCTTCAATCATTAAATAAACCTTAAAAGAATTGTAATTAAATTTGAGTTTAATTTGATAAGAATTAATTAGTTACAAAAGCTGGCCCTCCACCGGATAAGGCTCCAACTGCATTAATAATATTTTCAGGAACTTGATCACATAACCCGGAAACTTCTAACATTCTTCTTACGATAGCTATATCCTCTTTTTTGACGTTTTTTCCTGGGCAATAAACCGTGCAACCTTCTCCAACCATCATTGGGGTATTTGGCATTATTCGAATTACTCTAGAACCCGGAAATTTCTCTAACATCTAAAATTAATAAGATTAATAAAAAGAAAATTTTAAATTTATATACAGGGTTTCCCAAAAGTAACGGATAAATTCGTTAAAACAATTAAAAATAGTTTATGGAAGAGACGGGTCTAAAGATTTAAATTTTTTGCAATTATTGTTTGGTATTGATTTTATTATAGAACTAGTTGTTTTAGATATTTTAATAAGACAATTTTTGATATCTGAAACAGTTGGTTGCCATGGTTACGCATAGCTAGTGCTATTTTTCTATCTTAAATGAATGGAAAATTATGAAACTTTAAGTTAATTTTTCTCTAAAATAAAACCAATATTAATATTGACCATACTAGATTCAAAAAGAGTCCTCTTTCATATTCCGTAATAGAAATGGGTCATTGCTATTAAAAAAAAAAATCGATGACGTCATTACTCCTTTAAAAATGGCGGAAAAAATTTAAAATCAAAAAATTTAAATCTTTAAATTGTTTAATGAATTTATCCGTTACTTTTGAGAATCACTGTATATGATATTACCATTTCTAGATTTTTTATGGTAAATCCGGCTAAAATTGATACAAATAATTTATCCTTTATCTTAGGGCACCTCTCACTTTTGTAAATAGTATCTAAAGCTTCCGTTAAAATGTGCGGTTTGACAGCTAAAAATATAATATCGGTTTTATCGGTTACTTCACTATTGTCGGTTGTAACATTGGCCCCAAATTTTTTCCATATATCCAAATTTTTTATGTAAGGGCTTGAAACGTAAACTTGGGAATAAGATATTAATCCTTTATCAACAATTCCTTTACAAATGGCCTTAGCCATATTCCCATCGCCAATAAATCCAATTAATTTATTAATTTTTTCCAATTTTTCATGTTCATTTTGAAACCAAACAGCGTTCAAATGAAATTGTCGCATTGATCTGTTTAAATGAAACTGTTTTAAGCTCAAAAACAATCCAACAGCTTGCATAATAATAATACTAATCGATTAAAATTATAACTTACTTGAGGACGTTAGGAAGTTGTATTATTCGTTTAAAAACAGTCATTTTGATTGAGGTAGATGATTTCTTTAGATATTAAATGTTTAGATGTCTTCGTATGAATGGAAATGTTTAATTCTTGACCTAGAACGATTCACTGTATTGCGCGCGCGCAAATTATGCGAAAATGTCACTTTAAAAATAGTTGGTGCGGAAATAGTTAATTTTTATTGGTAAATGTGTTGTAACTTTTTGATTGAGTGAATAAAGATTGTTAATAGTTTTTTAAATTAGTTACAAAAATGTTGTTTTGTGGTTGGAAAATTAAATTAATTAATTAAATAACGCAAAAATTTATTAATTAAAACACGTTTTGGTTTATTTTAATGAAAAAGTTTGATTTAAAAATTAATTTTCTTTGACTTTTATTGTAAATATGTCGACTTAACCTCTCTTTAATAGATGGCGCTACTTCAAAAATCGATAAATGTGATAATAAATATGTGTATTTTTTATACATATGTATATTATTAATATATAATAAACGATAAATAAAATTATTTATAATAAAATATAAATCCACGTCCAATAATCTTTTCCTTAATGTTTACTAAAAATTAACCTAAAATTTTGCGGAATCTGTTTTACCGGCACCAATTTAATTTCAAATCAATTTTTAAAAAAGTTAATGATTCATTATAACCTTGAACCTTACTCATTAAAAAAAACAATTTTTTAATCTTTAAACCGCTTTATTATAACCACATCCACGTTATTACAAACTCAACAAGTTAAAAATATTCAAAATAAAAAAAAGGACATAACCTATATCTTCCTTTTAACCGCTTTATGAGAAAATTTAAAGCTTAGCGATTCCAACAACACCACAAGCTAATCTAGCTCCTGCATTACCAGTAGTTTTGCTTAGCTCATGGCCCCCAACTCCTAAATCGTCAGGATCGGCATGGACAACCAAAGTACGTCCAATAATATTATTAGCCCCAAACAATGAAATCATTTTGTCGGTGATGTTTACTTTGGCCATTCCATCATCGCCGGCTTCGATGTTACCCAAATCGCCTACATGGCGATCGGAAGCGTCCGGGGAACCATGATCTTTTCCGTAGGGGTTGAAGTGAGCCCCAGCTGAGATGCACCCATTGGTGTTATCCCCGAATTCGTGAATGTGGAAGCCGTGAAGACCTTTTCCTAAACCGCATACGTCCCCGGTGATTTTCACCGCAGAACTTTCATCCTGTCACGAAAAAGCCGGGATCGATTAATACATAACCTATAATATTTTATAGTATTTCAGGAACAAACCTGCTGTTCGAAAAAAAGGGTTCCCTTAACGATTTCGCCGTTTAATACGCAGACTGCTTTTGAGGGCATTTTCGGGCTTAGAATTCGATTGTAATCGACGTGACTTTGCAAAAGAATTATGCAAAACTAAAGTCCAAGTTAATTGATTAATGTCAAAATAGTTAGAAGAAAAAGACGATAGAGGGCATTTGAAAAGGTTGGTTTTAAAAAATAATTGTATTCAAGTAAATTAATAATTAACATTTCCTTTTTTTTTAATTAATATAAAATTATTTTTTTTTAATTATTTAAGAAATTAAGTTAAAAATTATATAAAAGAGAAGTAGCGCCATCTGTTAGCAAAATGAATTAAAAGTTTTATATTAATTTTCTTTATAAAATAAACACTTTTTCATGAAATAAAATCATTTTAATACAATTTCAATTATTTAAGTTTTTTAATTAATTAATTAATATAAAAACAAATTCTTAAAATTAAATTTTTGAATTATATCAAATTATATATAGAGATCATTGTAGATGGCGCTGTTAACATTTCTTGCTGTCAGTAAATAAAATAACCTATAAATTCACAAAACAAAGTGCTAAATTTAATACGAGTTTTATGTGAAGAATGTAAAAATGTCATCGGAGGTGATAAAAGAATTAGAAAATGCTGCAGCGGTGGTAAATGTATGTTCTATTTAACTTGGACGATTCATAAAACTTAAGAGAAACCCATTTAATTTTTTTATTATAATTTTTAGGCTCCACCGCATTTAGTAACTGCAGAACAACGTCGAATTGCGGAAAATGTATTCATGGATTTCCGCCAATCAAAATCGCCCTATGTAATATGTCGAGAGATTTTAGAAAATTCAAAAATTCCTTTTGTTCTCTTTGAAGCTAGCGAGGTTTTAAAACGGGCTTTAATTCGCGAATGGTCATTTTTACAAGAATCGGACATAATCTCATTGAGACAATACTTAATGCAATACATTATAAGTAGGGATTTACCAGCTTTCGTTCAAGATAGACTCTTACAAGTTGTTTGTATAATGGTTAAACGAGCTAGCGTGGATGATTTTGGTCAAGAGCGTGGCGTTATCCTTTCAGAGGTCGAAAGTTTAATCGTATCTGCTGATCCTTCGAAACGTATTTTAGGTTGCAAATTGATTTTGAATTTAATGCAAGAATACGCGATAACCGTAAAGTCTTCCGACGTCGGTTTATCTTGGGAAATTCATTTTAAAGTTAAAAAACAATTTGAAGCAACCGATTTAAAACGTATTTTTAAATTTTCAATTCATATTTTATCTGAAATTATTCAATCGGATAACTTAAATGATCCACAAATTGTTATTTTAACAAAGTATTTGTTAAGTATTGTTGAAAAAATTCTTTGTTGGGGTTTTCGATCAAGTCCTCTTCCAAAAAAGATAATTGGAGTTTATGAAACTTTATTTGAATTGGATGAAGCTCCATGTTTACGATTGGGATATGAGTGGAAAGAGATTATGTTGGCACCTCAACTTTTACCAATTATTTTTCAATTATATTGGAAAGTTAGGGATAATGAAGAGTTGGCGCACCCCGCTTTAACCTCTTTGGTACAGTTAGCTTCTTTAAACGGAGGAATTTTTAAATCTGAAGAAGATAAAAATAAATATTTGTTAGGTTATATGGAAAATTTTTTGAAATTAATCAGTAGTACAAGTGTTAAAAACGAAGAAGCTTTGGGTTTAGCAAATTTAATTAAAAAATTGGAAGTTTTTTTTGGAAAAGATATTGTTCAACTTCCAAGAGCAATACATGAATCATATTTGGATGATTTAACAAGATTAACTTGCACCTTTTCAGAACGAATGTCAATGGTACTTTATTTATTTGCTTATTTTAAACAAATTAATCTTAATTTATTTTTTAGAATACATCAGAATTAGATAAATATTACTCAGAGTCTTTTGATAATATGTTGGAAGCTTGGACTGAAATAATTAAAGATTTTTCCGATGAAGGTTCAGATTTACTTGTTGTTTGCGCCCGGAGAATATTCGATACTTATTTGCAATGCCATCTAGCGCCTAACGATGGATTTAGAAACCGAAGTGATAACGAAAACGTTGAAGAAATCGAAGATAACGAGGATAATGACCGAATCAAATTCAAAGATCAATTACAAAGCGTTGGAATGTTGGGGAGACTCGTTTTAGATCATTCACTTCCACTTTTATATCAGTAAGTTTTATTTTAAATTACGAATATGAATGGTTGCATACCAAGTCGGTAAAGTAGTGTACTACTTTTATATAAAATTTTTTTTCCGAACCAAAGAAATTTTAGAAAAATTAAAAATAAACTTATAGCTAATTGAAAAATGTATGTGCAGGTAGATATATATTTTTTAAATTAAAATAATTTTTTATACGGCCACAAATTTTTAGGGTAAAATATTTTTTTAAAAAGGCTTAAAATTTAACATTAAAAAATTGACATAGCACCATTTGATCAGAATTTCTGAAAATAGCATTGAATATACAGGGTGATTCACATAACAACCGTCACAGAGTAGGGACATTATTTCTATACAAAGTTATACCCTGAGAAGTTATAGGCCTTCAAAGTTGGGTCTTAAATTTTTAAAATCTTCAATATTTTCGTAATACATTAAGCTAGAAGGATCAAATTTGGTATACATTATGAGTGTACCAAGGTTATTAATTGGTAGCAAGTTGAGAAGATTGCTTTTGTTCTCTTCGAAGCTAGCGAGGTTTTAAAAGGGGCTTTAATTGTAGTAACTTGTCATTTACATAAATAGTAAGCAACAACTAAAAAATCAAATAACTTTATAACCTATTTGTCAAGTTTGACGTACAATTTCATAGCCGACTACTGAATTTTCGTTGATATTAAGCAAGATTAACGAAATACATGTCTTTAGTTATTTGAGTTTTTCAAGAAAGCAGTCTTTACGTCCATTTGTTCTATAATTAATTTCTCTATAATTAACTTCTACAGGGTGACTGGTACATAAACGTGAATATTGAAATACGTTGTTCTAGAGCTCACTTGTAATTGATTAAGCTAAATATGCCTTATATAAAATGAATAATTTAGAAAATATTTCAATTTTTTGCTTTTTGTACAAGTTCAGTATATACTCTTACAAATCTTGAAATTTAGAGAGTAATAATAGTTTCTTTGGTAATGTATCGACTTCTCTGGATAGATTACATCCTAATACACATTTAAAGTCAAGAAATACTGTAAATATTTCGATGGTTTAAAAATACAGGAAGTGAAATATTCGGTTTTTAAGTTAATTTTCAAACAAAGTGTTAATTCATGAGCGTCTATTTCAAAATTTCGATGATACATTCAGCATACAAATTATTGTAAAAACTTCTCTGTTTTGTTACCCTTCGAATGAGGTATGAAGCATGGCAAAATGTCTTTCCAATTAGTCAATAATAAGATAACAATTGGTGCGAGCACAATTTTGACAACCTACCCAATGTGAATAAAATTCAAAATCGATTACAACTGCGGTTGAAATTCAATTCATTAATGGTTAACAACCATCGGTTAAACAATTTTTTTACGTTTTGGCAGTAAGGCATGGAATTTAGACAGTTTTTTCGTTAATATTGTTTATTTTTATTTGAATAAAATTTTGGTTAAAACGTCATCGTTTACAAATGCTGGGTATGCCGACATCCTATTTATTTACGGTTTCCGTGACGGAAACGCATCAGCCGCTCATCGAGAATATCAGCAACGCTATCCAAATCGACGAATTCCTCATATTAGTGTATTTGACGTCACTTATCGATGTCTAGCTGAGACGGGCAATTTAAGAAATGCCGAACGTGCTGGACTTAATGTGGAAGAAGACATTTTGGAAACATTCGAAGAAGCACCCACATCCAGTACAAGAAACGTCGCTGCTAATTTGGGGATATCACAATGGAAAGTCTGGTCAACTCTTCGACAAATGGGCAACCATCCTTATCATTACACACCTGTCCAGGCACTTGAAGACGGCGATCCTGAACGAAGCATTCAATTTTGCCGGTTTCTTTTACATGCTGACATTCAGGATGAATATTTCTTGAGAAGGATTTTATGGACCGACGAATCGAAGTTTAACAGAGAAGGTATAACAAATCTTCATAATTTACATTATTGGACTGACGAAAATCCTCATCTAACGAAGGAAACGAGCAACCAAAGAAAATTTAGTGTGAATGTTTGGATGGGTCCTCATTTTTTTCCCGATCATTTAAATGGCGCAACGTATGGTGATTTTTTACATAATAATTTAATAGAAATGCTGGACCGTGTACCTTTAGAAAACAGGAATAACATGGTTTTCCAACATGATGGATGCCCTGCGCACTATTCGCAAATTCATTAAATGAATTATTTCCTAACCGCTGGATTGGGAGAGGAGGTCCAATTCCATGGCCTGCAAGGAGTCCTGATTTGACGCCCCTAGATTTTTATGTATGGGGCCACATGAAGGAAAGAGTGTATGCAACACAAATCAATACTAGGGATGAATTAATAGAGAGAATCCAAAATGAAGCAAATGTTTTAAGAACTACAATTACAAATAAAATAACAAGGTCGGAAATAAGAAAAAGGGCTCGAGTATGTATTAGGAATAGAGGTGCAGTTTTTGAAGCAAACTTGTAATTGGACCCCCTCTTGTAATAAGGAACCAACTGATAATTTTTACTAATAGGTATGAGTTAAGTATTTATTCAGAATTAAAAAAGGTCGTTTTGCATATTACCAATAAGAAACCAACGGTAAGTCGGTTAGAGTTAGAAGTTATGTCACATGATTGTGTTAATTTTTTTTTAATGTTAGTTGCTTAATTTTTTATGGTTGTCTGAATTAACGTTATGTTTTAGTGCCAATAAGCAACAATAAATAGTAGGTGTAATCGATTTTGACTTTTATTAACCTTAGGTAAGTTGTCAAAATTGTATTCGCGCCACTTGTTATCTTATTATTGGGTAATTAGAAAGACATTTTGCCATGCTTAATACCTTATTCGAAATGTGAGAAAACAGAGAAGTTTTTACAATAATTGGTACGCTAAATGTATTATCAAAATTTTGAAATAAACGCTCGTAAATGAACACATTATTTAAAAATTAACTTAAAAATCGAATATTTCACACCCTATATTTTTAAAACATCGAAATATTTATAATGTTTTTCAACTTAAAATGTGTATTAGAGTGTAATCTATCCAGAGAAGTCAATACATTGCCAAAGAAACTATTATTACTCTCTAAATTTCAAGATTTGTAAGAGTATGTACTGAACTTGTACAAAAAACAAAAAATTGAAATAACTCCTAAACTAATCAGCTTTGCATAAGGCATATTTGGCTTAATCGATAACAAATGAGCTCTAGAACAACGTATTTCAATATTCACGTTTATGTACCAGTCACCCTGTATAATTAATCTCTTTTACAATTAATCTGTCTTTATAAATGTTATTTGACTTTCTTGTATAAACCCATTTAACATCTAAACTTTTTTGTTCTCTGTTTCTTTTTGACCAAAACAATTTCCAAGTTTTGTTTTTCTTTAAACATTTCATTTGCCTGATTCGACATTTTACTTTCTCTCTTTGATCTTCTCCATTCTTGAGACGTTCTTTGTTCTTGTTTAATTGTTTTATTTTCGAATTCAATTTCTGTACTTGTATTTCTGAATCACTATCAAATTCATTGTCATTTCTGTTTATATCTAAACCTATGCATTTAACATTTTCCTCCACAACATCAACATGTCTAGCTACAATGATTCTGTTATTTACTAAAACTCTTTACCCAACCTCAGTATAACCCAGTAAAACTCCCAAATCAACCTTTTTATCCAATTTAAACCTTCTTAACTGTTCTGGTCTTCGAACAAGAATTCTACTTCCATATAGACGTAAAAATTTAATAGTAGGCTTTCTTCCAAACATTACTTCGTAAGGCGTTTTCTTTTCTACAGTATTTGCTAATGTTCTATTTTTAAGATATGCAGAGATACGCATACTACCTCTGGCCAAAATTTTCGATCTATTTTTGCTTTTTCTAATAAAGATGATCTATTATATCTTTCTGCTGTACCATTTAATTCATGTACAGGGTGGTTCAAATTCGATGTCCGAATAGGCTATCTCAGAAACAATAAGAGTTAGAAAAAAAGTAGCTTATATGTCTCGGTCCCTTTTTTTAAATAAATTCCAATGTCGAAAACCTCAAAGCGCTATCATGTTTTGTTTTTCCCTTAGAGGTCAAAATTGAAAATATAAAACCAGCAAGTGCAATTATCTTGGTTATTATTATAGGTGGAGTATTATAACTAAGACGTTATATGGACACTTTTTTACAGACATTTTGATGACATAGTCAAAAAAATTTTTTAGGTTTTAGATTTTGAGATATTATGACAATTTTCGTTTTTTTAAATGGAAACAACCACTGCTTATTCGCTTATTAAATTCGTTATTTATTTCTGATTATAAAAATATAGGGTTCGACAGGTTTTTTAGAATAAAGCTAAAAATTAACTTTTTTTTATAAAATTCCGAAATCTAGTGTCGTCGAAGAAATGAAATTTACAGTTTCCTGTAGGTAAAATCTAAAAAGTTAACAATTAAATAAGAAGATAATTTCTGGTATTTAAAAACAAATAATTATATTTATTACACCAACTGTTATCCATTATTTTGGATTGGAAATATATATTTTTTTAATTATAATATCGTAATTTACAGGAAACTGTAAATTAAATTTTTTTGATTTGACACTAAAATAAAAGTTTATTTATTAAAAATAAATAAAAGTATAACCAATATAGACTACGCTGTCTGCCTCTATTATTACCTTCATTGGCTGAAATTTCCTAGGTTGTTTTGTTGCTGCAACATTCCACCTCGCTTCCATGAAACTCTGCCTTCACCAACCTGAAGACAATCTTCCCACATTTATAACGTACTTCGTGATTCCGTTACTTTGTAATAAAGGCATTTGACTATTGGTCACAATTTGTGGATTCTTCTTCATCTTTTAATTTGAACAAACTTATTTTACTTTTTAAATACTCAACGGTCTGATGCTCTCGTTTTAAAACATCAACCAAATCTCCAATATAACTCAATGAATCTCGTAGTGTTTGCAACCTTTTTTCCTTTTTGCGTTACTTTTGCACCCTCAGCTTTTAATGAATTTACTAGAAAATGTTGAAATATCTTTAAAATCTTTCATTCTCAGTTTTTGCAATTTATTTTTGCAAATTATCTGTAACGCCAAAAATAACCAAATGCCGCTTCTATTTCGCTCACAAATTCCAGAACTCTATTTTTCTCTTGAAACAGTTTCGTTTCATTTTCAAATACATAATTATTCTATTTTTACAGATTATTAGAATCTAGAATAACAAAATTAGGATTACATCTACAAACGATGCAATCTCGCCCAATGACAATAAATGAATCAACAAATTTAGATGATTTATTCGAAGATATCCATTGGATTATTTTAATATCGGGACATGTTTTATGTATGGAATCGGAAGGTGAAACCCCATTAATCCCCTCCGAATTAAATAAATTCTCAATAACCGAAAATGAACGGGGAATCACCACCGTTGAAGATACCTTAAAAACGATGGCTTCAATCCATCAAAATTTCACAAACGAAGACTTTATTGTACGATGTGACAAAACAATACGGATTTTTTGTAACGTTTTGAGATTGTGTCATATGGAAACGACGGCGGCTGAAGTAAAATTGGGGCATTTTATGAGCCCGGAAGTTGGGTGTACTTTGATGTGGTTTTTAAAACGGTTTTGCGTTCACTATTTGATGCCGGTCGAGGGATTTTACGACCAGATTAGTTCGGTAATTGTTGGGGCTTTGGGACGAGATACGGAAGGTTCTGCTTTCGTCCTAAATTTGGTTCTAACAAAAATTAGGGCTAACATAACCCATTTCAATTCCGAGCCGATTTTGTTGCAGGATACTGTTGATTTATTTACGGAAATCGTTGGTGTTCGATTAAAGTAAGTGAAAATATAAAATAAGATAAATTTATGTAAAATTTATGTTTCTTAGAACAACTGTAGTTGTTAAAAGTGAAGGTTTATGGAATTTATGGGCTGAACAATCTCGTTTAGATCCAGGTTCTTTACCAGTAAACATCAGAAGAAATCTTTTACGTGCGTTTGTATTAGCTGGTTGTTCGTTTACGGATAAAAATCATTCGTTGGAGTATTATCAGAGGATTTTATCGCCGATTCAGCACAGTTTTAAAATGTTGGTTACTCAAGAACGTTTTAACGTGACATATCAAGAGGAGAATGTTCGCGCGGAACTTCTTGACATTTTAGAATGTTTTATTGGAACTTGTCGAGCCGCTCAGATGTCAACATCGAAAATTCTTTTTGATTTTTTGTCACCGATTTTAAATGAATTACCTAAAATTGTAACTTTATATAAAAATTACCAGATCATTGTTCAAGCAGTTTTAGAACTTTTTGGGTACACTGGTAAGTTTATGTTGGTTTATTTGGAATACGAGGAAAGCAAATTATTTTATGAGAACGCTTTAAGTGTTGTTCAAGCTTACTCTAACGTAAACTTAAATAAACTAACAACGCAAAGTCAGAGTTTACAAGAAGAAGGAACTCTGCAAGATTTAGATTTAATTTTAAAATTACTAACTTATGTAGTTTCAAAAGACTGTCTTTGTTGTTATGAGATAAATCCAACTGATGGAACGTATGTTTCCGCTGTAGATGTAGTTTTGTATGGTTTAAGTTTCATAACTCCATTAATAACAATCGATTTACTCAAACATCCAACGTTATGCGTTCAATATTATAAATTAATTGTTTTTACAAATGACATTTATCCCGAAAAAATTTGTTCTACCTCCGAAGATTTTTTCGATAAACTCCTTTTATCTATCGAATTAGGTTTAACACAATTCGGTTCGGACGTCGTTCATTCGTGTTTCGATTTCTTAGAATCCCTCACAGTTTATTTAATTCGTACAAAACCTCAAGTGCCTCAAATTGTTTATGGAAAAGTGTCACGTTTCTTAAAAATTTTATTTGACTTAGCTTTAACACAACAATTCAATTCGGACGTTATTCCGAGCGCTAGCACGTGCATTTATTCGTTTATTTGTTGCTATGAGGGCGAGTACAAGGTATTCGTTAAAAATCTAATCGATTCATGTCTTGATACGTTAGTTGCCGAACGTTTAGCGGTTGCGTTTATGAAATTAACGGAAAATCTTCCTTTAAACGGTGAACGAGCGCCGAAATTAAAATTCAGGGATAATTTCGATAAATTTATAACGAATGTTCAAGGTTTTCTTCTTGTTAAATAGCATAAAAATATTGGGGAATGTGTTTCTTCCTTAGATTTTATGTGTTATGATAATGATTTTTTCTATATTTTCATTTATCATTATTTGTATTTAATTGAAGTTATTATTATAATAAATGTTGTAAATAATAAACTTTTTCAATTTAGAAGTTATGTTGGATATGTCAAATTTTACCTTTATTTATAAAGTAATCCAATTTAATTCATTTAAAAATCTTTTTTTTTTAATTAAATTCCTTCCAATTATTAACACATTTAATAATTATTACATTTTAAATGAAATAATTTTGTATTATTAATATTTTTTCGTTATTGAGTGAGTGCAATAGAAATAAATCTTATAGTTGTTCTTAACTATCTTATAGGGTAAACTATTTATCATAGAAACATTGATAAAAGTATAGGTCTAACACCTCTTGGTGTTTAATTCACAAAAAGTCTTACAGTCCAGCAAATTCCGTGGAGGAAGATGATCTAGTAGCTAGAGAATCAGATTGGATTGGAATAGAAGAAAACAAAGAAAATCTGCTAGCACAAAGATTTAAAGTAGTCGATGTGGTCAATAAAATTAGAAAAGATATAATCACGGACCAACAAAGAAACTGCCATTAAATCTATTTATGATAAGCTTCCACAATACAGAAGATATAAAGAAAATATTTGGTATAGTAGAAACCGCGAGAGCTGGCAGTGACTTGACGTTTAAAAATGGTATAAATCAAGATATGGACGTACGACTTAGATTATTTCACCACATACATTTAAATGTATGATAGGTTAGTAATGGAGGTTATATGTCAAACATTGTCAAATATAGGAAAGGTTAAGCAGCGAAAAATCGTTAATATTAATTTATAATAAAATTTATGTAATTATTTTAATATTTTTCCAATCCAACCCAACAATTATTATACATCATTTTAAAGAGAAAACTTTGAGCTTTAATTTAAAATAAGTTTCATTCCTTAATTTCAATAAATACGGCTTACAGGAATTTTCAAATTAGCATCTTTTTTGACACTTTTAGGTTATTCGAAAATGTAAGTTTTGTTTCAACATTTTTTTTCTCTATATTTTTCCAATCCAACCCAACAATTATTATACATCATTTTAAAGAGAAAGCTTTGAGCTTTAATTTAGAATAAGTCTCATTCCTTAATTTCAATAAATACGGCTTCCAGGAATTTTTAAATTAGCATCTTTTTTGACACTTTTAGGTTATACGAAAATGTAAGTTTTGTTTCAACATTTTTTTTCTCAATATTTTTCCAATCCAACCCAACAATTATTATACATCATTTTAAAGAGAAAGCTTTGAGCTTTAATTTAGAATAAGTCTCATTCCTTAATTTCAATAAATACGGCTTCCAGGAATTTTTAAATTAGCATCTTTTTTGACACTTTTAGGTTATACGAAAATGTAAGTTTTGTTTCAACATTTTTTTTCTCAATATTTTTCCAATCCAACCCAACAATTATTATACATCATTTTAAAGAGAAAGCTTTGAGCTTTAATTTAGAATAAGTCTCATTCCTTAATTTCAATAAATACGGCTTCCAGGAATTTTTAAATTAGCATCTTTTTTGACACTTTTAGGTTATACGAAAATGTAAGTTTTGTTTCAACATTTTTTTTCTCAATATTTTTCCAATCCAACCCAACAATTATTATACATCATTTTAAAGAGAAAGCTTTGAGCTTTAATTTAGAATAAGTCTCATTCCTTAATTTCAATAAATACGGCTTCCAGGAATTTTTAAATTAGCATCTTTTTTGACACTTTTAGGTTATACGAAAATGTAAGTTTTGTTTCAACATTTTTTTTCTCAATATTTTTCCAATCCAACCCAACAATTATTATACATCATTTTAAAGAGAAAGCTTTGAGCTTTAATTTAGAATAAGTCTCATTCCTTAATTTCAATAAATACGGCTTCCAGGAATTTTTAAATTAGCATCTTTTTTGGCACTCTTAGGTTATACGAAAATGTAAGTTTTGTTTCAACATGTTTTTTGTCAATATTTTTCCAATCCAACCCAACAATTATTATACATCATTTTAAAAAGAAAGCTTTGAGCTTTAATTTAGAATAAGTCTCATTCTTTAATTTCAATAAATACGGCTGCCAGGAATTTTTAAATTAGCATCTTTTTTGACACTTTTAGGTTATACGAAAATGTTAGTTTTAACTCGATACTCTTTTTCTCAATATTTTTCTAATTCAACCCATCGATTGTTATACATCGATTTAAACAGAAAGCTTCAATTTACACTTAGCTATGCGAAAATAGGGGGATTGCATATTTTGCTAAAATTTTATTCCAAAGGCCTTTACTGAGTGTATTTTGATAGCGTTTTAATTCTGTCTGATTCTGTCACAAAGTTTGAAAATGTTTGACTTCTTGGGACACAAAGGGTTAAGTAAGTTTTATTTAAACAGTGGTTCATAATTTATTCATTAATTATTAATTTATTTCATTTTCGGCTTGTGAAAACACCAACAGATTTACAAGACGTTTCGATTTGAGGTTATAATTATAGAGTTACATCCCTTAGAAGAATAGACGTACTTTTTCGACGTGGCTATTTGAATTGTACAGCAGACATATTAAACTAATGCTATCTCTTTCTAACACACATTACTCTCTAGCGATTTGTGAATTTTAATTTACTACGTATGGCATTTGTAAGAGCGGAAAACGATGATTTACTGCCAGCTCTCGTGGCGTCTACTATATTAGACAAATACTAAATGCTGTGGTACAGATAGACTCGCTGAGAAGCAATAATTTAATTCAACAAAAATATTGTAAACATGAACCGCGATGCGTCAGATGTGCTGGTAAACATCTTACTATTGAATGCAAAACAACTAAAACTGAAAAACCAAAGTGCTACAATGCTGCGAGATGTTAAGATAGCCACCTGGAATGCTAATGTTGTTCTAACGCATAAAAAAATAATTGCAGCTTTCTTATCATTACATAAGATTGATACTTTACTCATTACAAAACCACATCTAACAAAACAACAAACTATTGATATAAGATTTTACAAAACATACCACGTCAACCACCCCAGCAATCAAGCAAGAGGTGGAAGCACAATAATTATAAGAGAAAATATCGAACACCATGAAGAAAGCTACTTACACCATCTTGGAAGCAAATTTCTTTCTTAATGCAAAAAAAACACAACTACAAAAGCGAAAGAACTACTGAAAGTCATTTAAAAGATTGGAGCCAATTATCATTCATTGATTTATTGGCCTTGTTTATATCAAAGAAATTTTCACCCAATTTTCTGGAAGTGCATGATAACTATGACCTAATTTCGGATCATACAGCAGTGGTACTGAGTTTAAGTGAACTCAGTACTTGAAAGAAAAATCAACTGGAAGATGAAGTGGAAAACTTTGTACGAGATATTCAGCGTGTAGCATGGAATAATACAAAAAAAATTGAAATATAAAACTGCTGGCAACAATTACCCTCAAGAAATTAGAAAATTAGTTGCAAAAAAAAGAAAAGCTAGAAGAACACGGTATAAATTCGATAAAAGCAGATTCAATAATCTCACACAACAATTAAAACCAAATATAAAGAAGAAGTTAACCGCCGATAAGGGAAGTGATTATTCATTATGGAGAGCAACAAGAAAGCTCAAACGTCCTATTACTCAAAATCCACCTCCCAGAACTGATAACTGATAATAGAACGTGGGCATGAACAAATAAACAAAAAGCAGAAATATTTGCAAACCATCTAGGAAAAACTTTCCAGCCAAATGATATAAACTCCGATTGTGAAGAGATCAAAGAAGTGTGTTAATACTAATGAACGTATAAAACATGTAATTCCAAATGGTGTTGCTAAAGAAATTCGGAAGAATATAAGTAAAACAAAGAAAACACCAGGTTTTGACTTGATTATAGGAGAAATCTTAAAAAACCTCGATAAAGTATGGCATAAAGCCCTAATATATAAAATTAGTAAATTATTGCCAAAACAGTATGTCAAGTTAAATATGAAAACGAATTAACTGATTTAAAAGAGATAAAAGCTGGTGTTCCACAAGGTAATGTACTTGTGGCCAATTCTGTATCTGCTATACACAAACGATCTGCCAGAGGACAATGTGCCAGGTCCATATGTTGTCCATGGACGAGAAAATTAAAATGAATGACTTCATATTAACTTTACAAACAAAAAATTACTTGATTTACCACCAATCACAATTAATAATATCATCATTCCATATGCAGACTCAACAAAATATCTCGGTATACATCTAGATACAAAACTCACCTGGGGGTACATACAAAGAAAAAGCTGGAAGAACTGCGAATAAGAAATATCAATACCCACATGGCTGTAGGGGTACAGCTATGGGAATGCGCCAAAAAATGCCATATTGAAACCATACAAAGATTACAAAATAAAATCTTGAGAATGCGCCATGGTATGTTTGGAACAGAGATATCATTAAGGATCTTGAGATCGCGGATGTATATAGCGAAATAAAGCGGTTTGCACAAAAACATAAATCTAGAGTTGACAACCAGTAGTGTCTCTTCTCTTTGAAAATGAAAACCTTCAACAAAAATTAAAAAGAACTAAGCCATTTGATTTTGCCTAGTGAGTAAACTAGTGCTAGCCAAACTTGCCTAGTGAACTAGAATGTTTCGGGATTAGCCGTGCGTCTGGTTAGTTCTAGTTTTAATTATAATGCTGCGGTAGACCAAGAACTAGAATCATTCGGGTTTAGCCGCACGTCTTTAAAGACGGCTAAACCCAAATGTTTCTAGTTCTAGGTCTAATGTTAGTTCTAGTGACAGTGCAAGTGTAAAATTAGCACTAACACTATATCTAGAACTAGAATCATTCGGGTTTAGCCGTCTTTAGAGACGTGCCGCTAAACCCAAATGATTATAGTGTTGGTGTAGATGGAATGGATTAGTGACAAGTTAGTGACATTTTAAGAAGAAATAAAGTTAGGCTTTAATAAATAGAATTTAATATAGATAAACTAATGGTTCTAGTACTGATCAATGATGACCAGTTTTCGTGTTAAATAAATTTTTTTAAAAATGAATATTTAAAAACAAAAATTTTTTTTGTTAAAAATTAAGTTGGTTATCCTGGTACAAATTTTAGGTGAGTTTGTAATTTTAAATATTTCCCTTTTATTATTTATATAATTAACTTAATTTATTTAAAAACAAAAAAAAATCCACAAATTTAATCAATAACATTGATTCAAAAAAAGGTTAAATAATTAAAACTAATATTTTTATAATTTTGAGGTTATCTTAGGTTATGTCATAAACGCAAACTTTTAGATATGATAATTTTAATTTATTGAACAACTTCGAACAATATTAACCGATTAATACATTAAGTAACATTTCAATAAGCGAAATATAAGTCTTTATCATAACCCAATTTATCCAAATTTGGAATACAAGCGTAATTAACCATCGGAGGTGGTCCGCACATTAAAACTAGCGAATCTTTTCCCGGTGGAAAAATGTGTTCTTTCAACATATTTTCATTAATAAATCCTGAACTGTATTTCCATCCTTCCGGTGGTGTATCTAAAGTGTACCACAACTTAAATTGTTGGGGATATTTTTCGGCGCATTCTTCCAATTCCTTTCGGACCAAAATATCTTTTTCAGTTTGATTTGCAAAAAGCAAACATAATTCGGTATTATCAGTAGGATCCTTAGCGATATGTCTAACTAATTGTAGCATTGGTGTAATTCCAGTGCCTCCGGCGATCATGGAAACTTTTTTAACTGTAACAATTTGTGCAGGATCTTTTCGAAGCTTTTTAATTGCAAATTGGCCGTTTCCTTGATAATTTAATCGACCGGAAGGACCGCGAAAATCAATCTTATCCCCTAATTTCATTGCTTCTAAATATTGGGTCATTTTTCCACCATCAGGGAATTTTGGGTGCACATTTTTCATATAAACTTTAATCACTAAATCAACATAACCTTTATCTTCATCAGAACTAACTGGAGTGTATGATCTAATTGTGAGTTCATCATTAATTTTTGCTGATAATTGGATGTGTTGTCCGATTGGTAACCCTAAAACATGGTTATTTGATGGTAAACCAAATCGAAATCTTCGTGTATCATGACTTATTTCTTCTTTTTCAATTAAAGGTAATTGATATTTATTTTGTGGGTCTTCTAAGGTGATTAATTGATTTCGTTGGGTTTTTTTGGTGGATTTTGATGATTTTGAAGGTTTTTCTGAGAAATATACTTTATAAATTATCACTGAAATTAATACAACTCCTACTCCAATCACAACAGGTACAACCTATAAGGAAATATGTATTTATTAATAACAAATTTATGATGTTAAGTGGTGAATATGTTAGTGAAAGCGTTTTTTAAGGACAAAATCGATTTTTAATGTTACATGGATGATTCAACACAAACGAATACCTGATTAGAATCTTCCTGTGAACTCATTCTCGAGCCAGAAAAGCGTAAATGCGGGAAACAAGCTGTTGAAAATCGCGTTTAGTTAAAAAGCGAGCGTTAGCTATTGAGATTATTGGAGATAATTATCTTGCCGATCCAAGGTTAACAACATATATAATTTCAACTCACCAATTGAGTATTACTCGGCATGACGATGATTATTTAGGATTTTTATTTATTTGCGATCACGAACTATTTACTCATCACTTAAAGATTTTTCTTTGGAATATCTTAACTGTTACGTATTGACCTCCATTCGGGGGCATGAACTTTTTTGAGGGTTAAAAATAAAATCCCTAGATTAAAAATCAATAATTTTTAAATAATTTGTTTTTAATTATTATTATAATTACATTATTATTAATATTAATAACAAAAGTAAAGGAATTTTTTATGTTAAATTAATTTTTTGGTTACTTTTTAGCTTAAAAATAATTAAGTTGGTAATAATGATTGTCAATTGTGACATTTAATTCGAAACTTAATTTTTTTAAACATTTTGAATTATTATAAATAATTATTAAAACTGTTAAGTTTGAGGTTTAGTGTAAACATTTAAATAACGTGGAGATATCGGAAGATTTTGTAAAATTAAAGAATATAAAAAGAAGAAAGTTTGCTTCAGAACAAAAGGACAAATATGGAATTTGCAAGAAGAACAATCACGCTGAAAAGGATTGTTCTTTAGAAACGGAAACAAAAACAGCTTTTCTTACAGAAGAAATAAAAATGGAAAGTATAGCATTCGTAATTGACTCAGGTGTAACAAGTCATATGTCAAACAATGAAGGATTATTTAAGGATTTTGAAAATAAATTGACAGATAGAGTAGCGAAAACGAATGTAAAGTTCTTATTTGACATTTGATGGAATAATAAATGGCTACAGGACTGAAGAGTTATTCAGTCCTGTAGCAAGTATGAGCTGTATTAGAGCAATATTAGCAACAGCAGCTGCAGAAGCATGTAAAATAACAAAATTTGATATAATAACTTCATTTTTGTATGGCGAACTGGAAGAAGATATCTACATGAAGATACCACAGGGATATAGCAATTTAGAAGGACAAGTCTGTAAATTGAAAAAACCAAACATATTTCTTGGACAAAACGTAAAATTAAATGAAGAAGCTTTATCAAAAGGACAATATAAACCAAGTTATTGAAAAATTTAAAATTGACAACAGTAAAAAACTAAAATACCATTAAGACTAAGGGCCGGTTGTACCACCTCCCGATAAACTATCTAGCGGATAATTACCATGGTTACAGCGGTTTTAAGCGCTCTCATTGGCTAAGGTCCATTACTACCATCTTTTAGATAAATTTATCTTATAGATAAACCCATCTACTAGCCAATCAGAAAGCGTAAAATAGCCGTAACTGTGGTAATAATCCCTTAGATAGCTTAACCAGAAGATGGTAGTAACGACCCTAAGGTCCACTTTTACCATCCTCTTGATAAACTATCTAGAGGATAGTTGCCATGGTTACCACGGTTTTAAGCGCTCTCATTGGCTAAGAACTGGATTTATCTATCGGATAAATTTATCAGGAGGTGGTAAAAGTGGGCCTAAGTGCGCCAATTTATCTATCGGATAAACTTATCGGGAGGTGGTACAACCGGCCCTTAGTGATGTAAAACGAAGTGATAATTAAGAGATAAATAAAGACTTTCCATATCAAGAAGCAGTAGGCAGTTTACTATACTTAACTAACAAAACCAGACCAGACATAAGTTTCGCTGTAAATTTTGCTACTGGATATGTTAAAAATACAAAAAGATGTGACGTAACTAATTAATAAGAAATTTAAAACTGCAAGCATTTACAGATGCTGACTATGCAAATTGTACAGATACACGCAATAGCGTTAGTGGTTATGTAATAATGTTAAACGAAGGACCGATCAGTTGGACAACGAGAAAACAGCTAATTGTTGCGTGATCAACCTCAGAAGCGGAGTATTGCGGCGGCCGAATGCTGTAAGGAGTTACTACATATCAAGAGTTTTATGGAAGAGTTGATTGGTGAAGAATGTAGGCGAATATAAGGCGAACCCTAGTTTTCCGCACGTCATTTTTACCAAATATCTAAAAGGACAAAATATGAAAAAGTCGCGGATATAAGCCTTATATACACAAATATATTATACTTACCTTAATGTCATTTACAAATATAATGTATGTGGCATACTATTAAGAAATCATAGGTAAGTTTTAGAATATGTACTTTATCAATAAAAGTATTTTCAAATATACTGAATAACAACACATATCTAGTCATCATTCATTTCACATGCATCATTCATCACTAGTAGCCCTAGTAACTTGGTCCAAGCCTCTAACATCCACTCACATAGCAATGTAACTTGTGGTTTTTTATTTTTCCACTGGGAGTAAGTGGATGATCATTTGACTGAAGCCAATTTGAAAACAGTTTCTTTAAGCGATCCTTAAAGGGTTTATTGACTACAGCGTCTAAAACCTGGTGAAGTCATACCACCAGGAATAATGACTAAATCTGTATTTTACATCTTAATTTCTTCCCGCACTTGTTATGCAAGGTGACCCCGAAAAGCATCCAATATAAGCATTGCTCTCTCCCCATCATTCCTTTGTTGATTTGCCCAAACACTTCTTATCCAATCTATAACCAGTGCTTGATCCATCCATCCTTCGTCTTGTACCGTAATTATAATTCCATCTGGAAATTTGTCCCTTGGCATGGTTTTTCTTTTAAGTACCACATAAAGAGGAAGTTTTGTTCCGTTAGGAAATACTGCTAACTTCTAACATTTGGGCTAATGTTGTACGACGTCGTAAACATAATCCACCCCCTAATCATCATTCTTCTGCACCATCCATAACTTGCCTTAAATATAGTTTGAGGGATATTTATGCTTTTAGCTATTTCTTGAGCTTTTAATTGAATTGTTTCTCTTGTTAGTGGAAATCCTTGTCCACGCATTTCATTTACAAAATCAACAACAATTTCTGAAAATCGATCTTTTTTGGATCCTCAAAAGGATTCTCGTGTTGAGTGAGTATTCAAAAGATTTTCTTTTTTTGCAGTCGCCTACGTCTAATATTGTTTTCTGTTGTACTATACTTTTTAGCGGCTGCACAATTGTTTGTTTTTTCTGCTTCACGAATAACCATAATTTTAAAATTGGCATCATAGCTTGTTCAGATATTTTTACCTATTCGCCGTACCCCGTTTTTCAACTCGATCACACATAACTGATGAGGCACTCTCAACAAGTCTAATCGGTACAAGAGTGTGCTAACGAATAACAAAAGCGCGCCTTATCTACCTATCTTCACATCGGCTGTAAGCATTTAGGGACTTCCCCTATTTACATAACTAGCAGGCTGGAAGCGAATGACACTCTTTGAGCCCGCTTACTTCTGCGCTAACACACCATTTATAATTTGTCGGTAAAATTCCGAATATAAGGCGAGTGATAAAACCTCGCCTTATATTCGGGCAAATACGGTAGTTGTTAGAGTTTAAGTTATTGTTTTGTAAAACTTCATTTTTGTTTACTAGGGCGTGTTAAGTTTGAGTTTTAGTTGTAACAAAACACCACTCAGTTGTTATGTTCTATCAAAGCTACATCTCATTGAAAGCTTAATAATAACCCAACAAAAACAACATTGGTAATTATTACATTTATTATTCACACTCCTCGTATATGTATTTTTTTATTTATTTTTACATACATAAAAAAAAATCGCAGTATAAAAAGCTACATTTACAATTTTATTGTTAAAATAAAACAAATACTGTTCTTTTTTTAGCTTATCTTAATAATAAGTACATTGTTGTTACGATTTCAAGTATAAAAAGTACGTTACATATTGGATTATTATTATTATATTTTGTAAAAAATATTTTTCCTTTTATCATGAAAATTTATTTGTAGATTAGTGTACTTTTTCACTCGTTGTGGGTTCGTTTCGTCGTAAAATTATACTTAAACCGAATAAATAGAAAAAAAACGAAGAAAATAAAATAGAAATTTGAGCAGATCTTATCTTACAGATATAGTACGAACGAAATAATATCACAATAGAAAAGAATATAGAATTAATTAATAGATTACGATTATTATTCGAGAATGTGCGATTACTATTATTATTATTATTACAACTTTCCTTTAATACTCAATTTATTTTTAATTTAACGCACAAATTTTTTGTGATCAATCAAATTACTCAAAAAAATCCTTCTTATTTAACTTACATCTATTTAGATTTAAATAAAATCGATTAAACAATCAAATCAGTCGATCGTATTGCACAATAGGTCATACGGAAGTTTCTGAATTCAATCTCAAAACGAATTTATTACTTTTCGGATCCATAACCTCTTCGGTTACGTTAAAATGCGGTAATTTTTTAATTGTACACACCAAAGAAACATCGTTTTGTCTTAAATGAAACGTTACGTTATCTCCGATAGGTCGCGATAATAATTCTTCGCAAATCAACGCCCACGTTTGTACTTCTTTTTGTTCCTTATCGTTTTGAAGAACGGGTTCCGTGATTAAATAGGGTTCCAAAAACGCTCGCGGGGTCAAATCGTTACTCAAACAATTCGCTAAATGTATTAAAATCGATTCGACCGAGTGTCTCGGTTGTTGGCGAGTCACCCTTAAATATTTTTGTAAAGCGCGAGCCATCGATGGGAAAATTGCTTGAGCCGCTTCGTGCGGATCCATCGGAATCGCGGGGATTTGATCGTTATGTAATCGTTTTATGTGAGTAAAAGCTTCTTCCGCGGCTGTTATTAATCGAGCTTTCCGTTTTTTAACCCTCCTCTCATATTCATGTTCCTCGTAAAAACGTTCGTTATGAGATGAATCTCTTCTTCGAGCGTGAGCAGCTAACATAGCGCGAGATTGCGATTGTTGCATTGATGTGTTATTAACTCCATCGACTTCATAAAATTTAAAACTCGATGACGCTTTTTGACGCGATGATTTTGAAACGGGGATTCGCTCAAGATATGGATTATAAATCGGGAATTCCGTGTAATACTTCTCCAACACCCAAACTGCAGCTCTTTGAATACTAAATTGACCGATTGCGTACGCTTTTGATTCACCATCGGGTGATCGAACGATTTTAATATAATACGACGATTTTAAATGGCGAATTTCCATTAAAATTACAGATAAATAATGGATAAAAAGTAAAGTATCAGTTAATGTTGAAGCGTATGATACTAAAGCTTTATAATCGACCGATTCTTCAAGGGTTATTGCTGCTCGAGCTGCTTCTGTTACTTGAACGATATAAAACAACCAATAGGAAAAGGTGCAGATTAAAACGAAGCTTAAAATAGCCGCGCGAAATAAATAAATTCTCGGTAACGTTTGAGTTGGTTTTCTTAAGAAAACAGCCCAAGCGCCGACTGCTAAAATAACCAATTTAAATGCTAAAGCGATTAATTGTCCTTTACATTCCGCTGTACATGCTAATAACTTTTCGGAATTCTGCACTAAACTTGTTGATAAAGCTGGAAAAAATCCAATCTTAGGTAAAACAACCATCGCTAAAGGGCTTAAAAACGCGGCTATCGATAAAACATAGGTTAAACAACTTCCCACATATCGTTGACAAATAAAACTTAACCCTGTATCGGGTTCTCCAGGCCAATTACTCACATCTTCAGTTGATTCTGATTGTTCGGATGTATTTCCGGTAATCGCTGTGGTGTTTTCACCCCAATTATCATCTTGTGGTAAGATTTGGACTTCAATTACTTCTTGCCCGTCACGATTTTCGGGGGTTAAAGTAACCGCCGTTTGGAATGGGGCCATATCAGATTCGTTTTTGGTACGTTTTGTGCTTCGGGTACTTCGATGGGAGTGCTGCCTGTAGTTGTTTCGGTGTCCTCGAGACCTTCTCGACCTGGAACTATTCTCCGATTTCACTGATTCCGTCTCCATGTCACGGCCTCCGGTCTCGTAACCCATAAAAACGTCCGTTTTTCTTCGATTTTAGAGAACAGCATTTAAAGGGATCTTAATAATTTTTGTTGCACCTGCTATCTGTCCAAGTTCATTGACATTGAAATTTCTTGTTTCTTATTTCTGACATATTGTAAACACTTTACTAAAGTAGTTTTTATTGTGTTTAAGAATTCTTTTTGGGTTCTTTTTTAGTTCTGGATTGTTGATGGATTTTAGGTTCTTTTTACCCGGATTTTTTTAACTTTTAGTTTAATCAATCACCTTTTATCACTCATTTTGGTTGTTGTTTTAACGCAAATATGTTTCTCGTTTATTTAATATTAATGCTTTTATTTAAAAAACGTCCAGAACGGTTTTATGTAAAAGGTTGTGGTTTGATTTAATTGCTTCTATTACAAGAAGATGGCTGCTACTACATTATTTTCTGCTTTTTCTGACATGGTTTAATTAAACCGGGTGAAATTAAACTATTGTATATATTAGATTAAGTTTTTGAGGGGTTTTGAGTGTTATTTTAGTGAAATCGTTGCAATTTTCATTCAAAAATTGTTAAAATTATTGCAAAAAAATGACAACAAATGGGTTTTAAGTTTAGCGACATCTTGTAGGAAAAATTTGAAATATATTTCATGAATGGAATTAAATTTATTATTAAAAAAGATGCATAAATCAAATTTTTTTTTAAATCCTAATTTTTACATGAAAATGATAATAGAAAGTAAGATATTAGTTTATTATTAATTATTAGATCTTAAAAAAAAAGTTTTTGCCCCACCTATTGAGAGAAATTTGAAATATAATAACATAAAATAAAGTTTAATAAGAAACTATTTATATATATTAGATTGAGTATATGAGGGGTTTTGAATGTTATTTTATAAAATTCGTTGCACTTTTCAGTCAAAAATTGTTAAAATCATTGCAAAAAAATAACAACAAATGGGTTTTTAGCTTAGCGACATCTTGTAGGAAAAATTTGAAATACATTTAAGAATGGAATTAAATTTATTATTAAAAAAGCATACATCAGATTTTTTTAAAGAATCTTAATCTTTAGATAAAAATGATAATGCAAAGTAATATATTAATTTATTATTAATTATTAGATCTTAAAAGAAATGTTTTTGCGCCACCAATTGAGAAAAATTTGCAATAGAATAAAATAAAATTTAATAAGAAACTATTTAGAAATAAAACTACTTATATGTATTAGATTAAGTTTTTGATTGAAAATCGTTGTATTTTTCATTCGAAAATTATTAAAATGACAATAAATGGGTTTTAAATTTAGCGACATCTTGTAGGAAAAATTTGAATTACATTAATGGTTTAAATTTATTATTAAAAAAAGTATGAAAAATCAGCTTTATTAAAGATTCATAATCTTTAAATACAAATGATAATAAAAGGTAAGGTATTATAATTTATTATTAATTATTAGATCATAAAAAAAAAGTTTCTGCGCCATCTATTGAGAAAAATTTGAAACACGTTTAATGAATGGAATTAAATTTATTGTTAAAAAATATGCATAAATCGGATTTATTAAAGAATCTTAATCTTTAGATAAAAATGATAATAAAAAGTGAGATATTAATTTATTACTACTATTAATTATTAGATCTTAAAAAAAATAAAGATTTTGCGCCACCTTTTGAGAAAAATTTGAAATAGAATAAAATAAAATTTAATAAGAAACTATTTAGAAATAAAGCGACTTATATATATTAAGTTTTTGAATGTTATTTTAGTAAAATTGTTGTAATTTTCATTCAAGAATTGTTAGAGTTATTGCAAAAACATGACGACAAATTAAGTTTATTAAGTTTAGCGACATCTTGTAGGAAAAATTTTAAATACATATAATGAATAGAATTATATTTATTATTAAACCAATTTATTAAAAATCATGTATATTAAAGAATCATAATCTTTAAATAAAAATGATAGAAAATAAGATATTATAATTTATTATTATTAGATTATAAAAAAAAAATTTGCGCCACCTATTGAGAAAAATTTGAGATACATTAAAATAATAAATTTAAAAATAAAAGTTAATAAAAATAAAAAAAATTGATTTATTATTCACGTTATATAATATATTTTTATATCTTTTATTACAAAGAAAACTTAACTGATATTACAAAGTTTTTTTTACTTAAAGAAAAAACCTAACCTCAATTTCTACATAACCCAAATTATTTTTTCAACATATTTTTTAAAACGTTCTCTAATTTAACAGCATCAACAGCAAATTTTCTAATCCCATCAGATAGCTTATCAGTAGCCATACGATCCTCATTTAACATCCATCTAAATCCGCTTTCATCCAAAACAATCTTTTTCAATTCTTCATTTTTATCATCTTTATTTCCAAGTTTTCTTGGAACTGGAGCAGTGGAATTTTCTAATTCGCCCAATAATTTTGGACTTATGGTTAATAAATCACAACCAGCCAAAGCGATAACTTCACCAATGTTTCTGAAAGAAGCCCCCATAACGACAGTTTTATAACCAAATTGTTTGTAATATTTATATATTTTTGTAACGGAAATAACCCCAGGATCTTCATCACCTTGGTAAGTTTTTTTATCTGTATTTTCAATGTACCAATCTAAAATGCGCCCAACGAATGGTGAAATAAGAGTAACTCCGGCTTCAGCACAAGCTACAGCTTGAGCCATACTAAATAACAGGGTCAAATTACAATGGATTCCATGTTCTTTTTCGAGAATTTGAGCAGCTCGAATTCCCTCCCAAGTTGAAGCGAGTTTAATCAAGATCCTATCTTTTTTGATACCATGCTCGGCGTATAGCTCAATTAAATGTATAGCTTTCCGAACACTAGCATCCGTATTAAAAGATAAACGAGCGTCTACTTCTGTGGAAACTCGTCCTGGAATGATTTTTAATATTTCAACCCCAAATAAAACACAAATCGTATCCATTGCGGCTTCTAATTTTTCATCAAGAGTTGAACCGATTTTAGAACCACATCGAATGGCTTCATCAACAAGATGCTTGTATTGAGGCAAAGAAGCAGCTTGGAGAATTAAAGACGGATTTGTCGTAGCATCCGTAGGTTTGTACTTTTCCATTGCTAAATAAATAAAAATTGTTTGATAAATTCGCTTACATAAAAGTTATTTACTTAATTACCCTCAAAATCACCGGTGTCCGCAACAACCGTGGTAAATTGTTTTAATTGATCTAAAGAAGACATCCCGCTTTTGCTTCTCTTACAAACTGGTTCAACAGAGTCAGCACAAGACATAATTTAAAGGATTGTAGAGCGCAGGAACAACGTGGAACGGAAAAGAACAAAAAAGAAGTGGAAGTGAGGTTATGGAAGGCGGGAGAAGTAAAAGGAAAATTTAAGGATTATGTTCAAGTAGAAATTACCGTTATCTATGTTTTGATAAGGATGGTATCGCGAAAGGATTTTTATGATCTTCGAAGATTTTTTTATTTTGACAGATTCATTTTGAATTTGGCGCCAAATTTTTAACCAATTTATGACAGTTCTATTTCCGCCATTTCGCTTGTATCTAAATCGCGGTATTTATCATATTTGATCGAGTTATCATAAGAAAAAAAACGACATCGTTCGTTCTCTTTTCATTGGAAAACATTTGTTAAAGTTTTGTTACTTGTCCAGCTGTCATTCCATCAGAAAAGGTAAAAATATCATTATTTTAACCAAGTTCTATTTAATCTTTAATCATAAAACGAAAATACTCGATAAATCCTCTATTTTAACCGTTTTATCATCGGGATTTCCAGGTAATTCCTCCGTTGTAAATTAATGTTGCAAAAAGTATTATAACATAACCTCAATTTTTCAAATAATTCTTGTTTTGTTGTTGTTTAGATGTCTGGAGGTGGAGACCAAGATGAGGGTTACGTCGTTAAATTACGCGGATTGCCGTGGTCAGCAACCGTTGACGAAATCTTAAAATTTTTTAAAGACTCGAAGGTAAAAGGAGGAAAAAGTGGTGTACATATGACTACTTCACGTGAAGGTAGGCCTAGTGGAGAAGCATTTGTTGAATTTGAAGACTCGGAGGATGTTGAAAGAGCGTGTGAAAGAGATAGGGATCATATGGGAAATAGATATATAGAAGGTAATTGTTTAATAAATCAACTTGTTTATTATATTTCGAACAATAACTTTATTTAACATACAAACAATAACTACATATTTTTACATAACCTTAATTCACTGACGTGTTTACTATTCTATTGTTAGATGGCGTTACATTGATTTTCGCCAAATCCAGTTTTCTTTAATCTTTTTCTTGCTTCTTGGTTTCTTCAAACTTTATTTCTTATTTTTCTATTTCAAGTTTCCTGGTTTCTTGAATGTTCACACTTACTTTCAGGTATTTTGACTTCTTCTTTTTTGGAATTAAATATTTGTTGATTTTCTTGATCATTTTTTGTGCTAATCGGTTTCTTTATCATTTCTTTTCTTGTTTTTCTTTTATATTTATTCTGTCTCTATGATAAGATGTTCCAACCACATCAATCATAAAGGCTTTTTTCTGATAATTTTTCTTCTATCTTTCTTTTTGTCCATTCTGAATCATGTCTTAATTGTACATAAACTCTTTGTCCTATCATCAAATCAGGTAGTTTTCTTGTTTTTCTATCATAATACAATTTATTGTATTTCTTATTGTTTTCAATTTTCTTGGTCATACATCTTGTATGACAATAGGTTTATATTGATCTGTTTTTAGAGGTAAGCTACTAACTGGACTTGTATTAATTTTATTTAGTGTATTTCTTCAATGATGGAGAAATGGTCGACAATTTGCTTTTAAATATGTCTCAAATGATATATTCTCAATATGATGGAGCACCAACGCATAATTCCAGAATTGTTAGTGAATTCTCAAACTTTGGCAATTATTTGATACATTATTTAAAAAAATTCAAGTGTTATTTATTTAGAAGTATATTTCATTTCTAACTTAAAAGCAATTGAATGTCGTCTTATTATGACAAATAAAATATTAAACAACTTTTGTATAAAATGTTTTTTATATAGTCAACATTTATCGAGATATATAGTATCTTCCATACATAATGGGCACCTGTATATGATATATGAACGATATTTGATGTATTGGAATTTATGCTCACTTTGCCCAGGTTGGTTTTCTTTAAAACCCTAATTATAGCGTGAAGGAATGTAGATTTGTTTTGATTCTCAATTATAGCATGAAGGAATATCATTCCTATAATAGGTTAGTTTTGTTTTAAAACTCTAATTGTACCATGAAGGAATGTCGGTTTTCTTTTGAACCTCAATTATAGCGTCAAGGAATGTTACTATAGGTCAATTTTGTTTTGTACCCTCCCAATTATAGCGTGAAGGAATGTCGGTCTTTTTTGAACTCTAATACACCGTGAAGAAACCGCAATTATAGCGTGAAGGAATGTTAGGATAGGTTAGTTTTATTTTGAACCCCAAATTAAAGCGTGTAGGAATCTCCGCTTTCTTTTGAACCTGAATTACAGCGTGAAGGAATGTTACGATAGGTCAGTTTTGTTTTGTACTCCCCCAATTATAGCGTGAAGGAATGTCGGTCTTTTTTGAACCCTAATTATACCGTGAAGAAACCGCAATTATAGCGTGAAGGAATGTTAGGATAGGTTAGTTTTATTTTGAACCCCAAATTATAGCGTGAAGAATGTTAGGATAGGTCAGTTCTGTTTTTTTCACAAGATACAAGACTTGGAACTAGAATCATTCGGGTTTAGCCGTCTTGAGAGACGTGCGGCTAAACTCGAATGTTTCTAGTTCTAGGTCTAATGTTAGTTCTAGTGACAGTGGTAGGTAGCGCTAGTTATATCACTATACAGGTGTTCTGTAACGATTGTACAATACTGCATCAGCATATTCTCTGATTGAAAATAAACAAAAAAAGCCTAATAAACATAGGTCCGAAAATGGACCATTTTCGGGATATTCAAAGATTTAATGTCATAAGCTTTTAAGAATTTTAATTTGTTTTTATAATAATTAAGTGGTTCGGAAATTTTATACAACGTTTTAAACAATCTTTATGAAATGCCTGATGTTTATTGCAAATTTCGATTCATCGCTGAATATTATCTAATATGTGAGCCTGGCTTTCTGTTGTTTTTCTGTTAACAGTGATTTTTGTTTTGCTTATAAAACAACACTTTTCTAAAATCTACATTTTTTAATTATTGCTTGTCAATAAACCTCATCAAAGTTTAATCCACGTTTAAGAATCCATTTGCGATAGCATTCCCTTGATATATTTAATCCAGTTTCATTATTCCATTCCGCGGTAATTTGTCTTAAAATATTTCTTCGTCCTTTTTTGCAGATTTTTACAAGTATTCTTTTATATCTATCAGAAACTAACTTTGGACGACCTGAACTTTTACCCTTTTTTTCTAAAATTTGCCCAGTTTCTCCATAATGTTTAATTACTTTCCACGCTGTGCTTTTAGGAATATTAAGTTCGTCTGCTTTTTCACGTATTATTTTATTGTGGCAATAATTTTTAATCATTAATTCACGGATTTTTGATACCACGCACCATTTTAATTGATAAATACAGATTTACTCAACAGCAACAATGTTACAAGCTTTAGAACAAACCGGTAATTTAACGTAATTCATTTTACGTTATTTCCACTGTTTACTTATCTTAATTTGTTCCATTTTTATGGAAGTTACTTTGTATTGTCCCAATATTAAGTTGTCAGGTAAAATATACATTTTTCTAGTTTAATTAGAAGCAATAGGGTATGTATTTTGTTTTTTGTGTTGTTCATTAGACAAAATTGTTGTTAATTATATAATCAAATGATATTAATCTGTTTAATTATTCTTAATTATATACACATTTTATTTTGTCCCAATATACAGGGTGTACAAAAAGTATGGAATAATGGCATTCTACAGCCTAAACTTCAACTTATATTAAAAAAAGTTTTAAATAAGAGTTACTTGAGACTATTTTCCGCATATCTTGATGTAGAAATAAAATAAAAATGATTTTATTGCTCAGTGGGGGTTCTCGGCATACCAGTATCGATAATTGTGTCTATTTACTTTTTCATTCAAATAAAATGTGGCTTCGTCAGAAAATATTGTCTTGTTAACGAAGTTTGGATCATCGTTAATTCGCCTCATCATTTCTTCACAAAATTGTACACGTCTATCAAAATCATCTTCTGATAACTTTTGCAGTAAAGCTGGTTTATAGGGATGTTGTTTCTCCTTTTTCAAAATGTTTTGAATAGATCCTGTACTGACATCGAAATTTAAGGCTAGTTGACGAATCGAGGTATGTGGATTATCTGTTATTTCTTCTAACACACCTTGCCTCATATCTTCATTTGTTGCAACATTCGGCCGACCGCATTTTGGAATATTCTTTACATGACCCGTCTCATTAAATCATTAAATCTTCATTAAATAAAACACACATGTTCTTATTTATTTAATATCTACAATTAAGGTTTTTTCGAAATCAGCTTAAAATAGACTACCTAAGTCTGACGTCACAGAGGTGGGCGGAGCTTATACCAACTCCAAACAATTTCATTGCTAACCACAGTTGCTAAAATAAATCGCCATAAAAATGTCATTTAAAATGTCGCTTAGTTTATTTTATTTT